GAGAGAGAGAGAGAGTGCTGTGGATGAGCTTGCAAGCTCACCGGGCGAGGCGGGGATCTTTAGTCATGGCGCTAAATATAACGGGCGGTCGGTCGGTTCGTTCGTAAACGACGCGTTCGACGTGCGATCATCCCGAAGCGCGAAAGCTCCGCGTACAAACCCCATGAGCTTTTAAAGAGGCGCTGCTCGAGCGCGCCGAGTAGGCGTGCAGATACATCGACACATGGCTTTTTTCCCTTCCACGCGCTCATCGCTTTCCGACGCGACGCACGTACGAGCCAATGGACAGTCCGCTCTTTTCCATTTACCACGAGCCGGAACTTGCGTAACTTTCAATGCCAATCTCTCGCGATGATCGATGTTTTATTTTGAAAATTATTCCTCTCGCGATTCTTGTGTTATATTAAAGAGATGTGCACGTGCTACATTTTAAAACGCAACCATGAAAATTTCTCCGTTTTTTTTTTTTTAATTTTTTGTATAATTTCTTGGAAGCTTCTATCGCTGATGATTTTACACAAATTATTCGTTTTGGAATTTTCATGTTGATAATAAAAAAGTTTATTGTTGAGAAATGTCGTTTCTCTGAAATATTGTGTCAATAGCAATTTAATCAGAAAAATCCACATAAAAATATGCAATGAAAACTATATTTTATTGTACTTTGAACTATGGATTTATATAAAATCTATAAATCATAAAGCTTCCGAATAAAAATAGAAAAAAAAAATATATAAATTGCACGACATACATTGCATTACATAATTATTATTCTTTCAATACAGTTTATTAAGGCGAGAAGCGCTTAAGCGTAGTCGACTTAAGGCTCGCCTACTCGTAGAGCCCAAGAATAAAACGTCTGGGAACAACCTTTACATACGGAAACTTAAGAGCCCCACTTTGATTTTGCCGTTTCCGCCAAGCGGAATAGATTAAAGTGAGAGGCCGGAAGCGAGCGAGACGCACGAGTGTGGATTCCATCTCGGGCGCGTTTCGCGGCGCAACGTTTTCGCGAAGTAGCGGAACAACCGATAACGCACCTACCAAGCAATTCCCCTTGGATTGCTATGCGAGTGGAAGGTGCCTGTGCTCACGAAATCTCAATATAGGTGGCCTACGAGGATGACAATGAACGCTGATCGCAAACTCATCAGTCAACCGTCGGTGGATAGCGAAAATAACGAGCGCGTCACTTTCGAACGCGTAGGTAGTTCTCGTTTTTCATGTTTATAGACCAGGCAGAACTAATTCCGAATGAAAAAACATTCCGGCGAGCACCTTGAGTAAGCGTTGAGTAAGCCTTTGACGCGTCACGTCGCAAAAGTAGTCCTAAAATAATTTTAAATATAATAATAACTAAAAAAAAAAATATATAAAATTTACCTTTACGACAATATACCTTTATCCATTGCATTTATTTATTTATTGTTCTATTTCTGTGTTTTGATTAGTTGAGAAAAATGTATAGAAAGTGAGAAATATAATTAAAAAAAAAAAAAAAGACTCAACGTTAAAAGACATTGTGAAAATTCTGAGATAAATTGGTACCGCGTGATTCATTACATCGTGTATTAGTCACATCCAGGGTTAAGATACTTCGTCTTTCTTACCATTGGCATCTCGATGTCGGCGTGCATCTCAATGTCGATACATTGTCTTCATTATCTTCCGCGATTGCATCCGCAATGCACACCTGAGACGCAACATCTTACGGCCCGTCGTTCACGTTGCATAATGATCATAATCAAGTGCATGATACCTAGGCACGTGAAGCATCGCACGTGTATGCCTTTCGTAGGCACACGTGCGATCTTCGCCACGAGACGCGATAATCAAGTGATGACCGGCTGTCCCTCTTTCTCCGTCTCAGTCGAATGCTTCCTTCTCTTGAACGTCACTCAACGGTTGCCTCAATAGTTGTCTTTTTTTTTCCGTTGCAGGACACGAGGACTCACGTGGTGGTGGAGCTTTACGATACGGAACGCTCCTACGTAGAGGCGCTACAGATACTAGTCAATGTAAGTATACTTATTGACTTAATAAATAAAAAAAAAAAAGAAGAGGTTAATTCTACCAAATCGGATTTTTTATTAAATGGATAAAATAAATGTCTTTCGGAATGTTTTGTGATAATCGCGATTGAGCCGTAAATAACGGCGGCCGTTATTTACAGTCGAAACTTGAAAAAATTGTTTTTAATCAGCACAGCAATATTGATCGTACATATATTTTTTAACGCTTTGATATATCGAGCACATTTCATAGCGAAGGTCGCTCTCAGCTTCTGAAAGCTTTTTGCTAGTAAGAAGGATGTAAATAAATGTAAGCAAATTAATTTGCTTGAAAAGTAATATTCTGGACCGGAGTGGTCAAGAAGATTGCGTCGATCGATCTCTCGAGTTGCGCTGCAAAGAAATGGTGTTGCACTGATGCATGTCGGAAACTGCGATTCGTCCTTGCATCTTGTAAACAAACACCCCCGCCCATTTATTCGCCTCCGATCGAACAACAATTCCGCTCGAGCGAGCTGTTGCTCGTTTCGCCCAAACACGCCATCTCCGGCCTGTTGTTATCATTAAATTTCCACTCCCGACTTCATAATCACTCTTCGTTAAACACCGGAAATAGATGCGAATACCAGGTCGCGGCGAATAGTTGCGGAAATCGGCCCGTTTAAGTGCTTACGTAATGTTGTAAGAGACGCATTTGCGATTAAACACGTACCAACGTTGCTTTTATCTTGAGGCCTTGAACAATTTAGAAATTATTTTTTTATATGATATACGATATTTTTTACCGTGATTTATTTTGATAACAACAGTCATGATTGTCAATCAATGTCTTTCAAACTTTTTGTAACAAAAGAAAATGACAGGAGATCCATAAGTGTCGACATACATGTTTATCTTATTAACATTATTAATTATTAATATATCAAATAAAACATTATTAATTGATATAAGAATATAATTATATATTATGTATTTTGACGAAAATAAAATAAATAGTAGATTAATTTCATATTGGTAAAAAAAATATGTGGTGTGCTATCAAACCGTTGATTATTAATTGAGAAAAGCACTTGGTTATTAACTTGGGGCTCAATCGCAAAATTAATAATTTGCGTACTGCTAGTAATGGCAATGTTGATGCTAAATTTTCGAATTCTGGTTTCAGCAACGTAAATAATGCATATGTTTCTGGCATAAAAGGATGTATGTGTAGGATGCATCCTAGTTTCATTCATTTTAAATGAAGAAACATTTAAAATGCATCGTACACCTGAAATGTATGTACTAAGGTAAGTCAGAAATTATCCGCAGTGAAAATTGTTTTTTTTTTTTCGTTTTTTTACTGCGGAAAAAAATTGCGGATAATTTCTGACTCACCTTCGTATAAAATTTAAATTTGCAATTATTAATGCATGTCAAGGTGGCGTATTCATTGTAAGAAGCCAACAATCATGCAGCCTTCTCAGGATCGTGTTATGTTTATAGTGATTTGATTTTCAGTGCGTTGTTTGCACACGTTTGTGTCCTTCGTTGAATATTTTGTTTAATGACGCAATACATCTAATATGTGTTGAAGGGCGTTTCGCGAAGTGGATTACTCGACGATGTGCAAGGCAATTTTACAAATATGCATTTCAAAGTATCGTTTCGGTATCGCGAAATGGTAATAGCGTTACTCATCCAAATCTAATTTCCGACACGGAAATATATTCCGCATACAAAATGTTTCAGTTTGCACTCAACCATTGCCAGTTGTCTCTTTCGTTTTTTAATTTTAACTTTTGTTAAAACGAAGTGCTAAAAATATTTTAACAGCAAAGCTTCATAACTTTCATGATTTTTTTAAATTACTTAATTGCAATTTGCAACTAGATATGTGGGAAAAAAGTTAATTAAAAATACAGGGGTAAATTTTGCGATATAAAGATATGAATTTTATCATATTTATGTGAATTATTTGAATACATAATTTATATTTATATCACTGTGGAAAGTACATAAAATTTTTATCTCAGATATAACATGTTTTTGAAATTAAATATTTAATTTAAGTATCGAAAACATTAAGATAAGTATCTTAAATTTTTTTTTGTATATTTTTTGAAATTTATGAAGCTTTTTCAAGAGAAGGCACAGGGATACTCGTGACCAGAACACGTGTGCAGCGTGACATGGGTCATATTAACGTGCAACGTGTTCTGTACAATTGTACAGGCTGCAATTGGCGGTTTAATGAAAGTTATCCGAGCAAACATTAGCTGTGGAATTCCAATGATGAGACCGATCTTTGTTTTAAATAATTGCACAGGCTATGTGCCGCGCTAATTGCATTATCGTTTCACAGTGCAAAGTAACCATTGAATCAAATAATTACGATAATACACGGAATAATGCTGCTGGAAAATTAATGTTAATTTTATCACGATTTATTTGACGATGTATTTTATTTTGTCAACTGTACATAGTAATTACTATATATAGTGATTACATAAAACACTATACGTAGTAATTACGTAAAACGTATTCGTTGCGAATTTCTAAACTTTCAAGGAAAATTTTATTTCTAAAATACATTCGACGACGCAAAGAAATCTTTGCAATACTTAGAAGAAATAAATATCTAGTTTTATTTATTGACAAATATCAGTTTAATTATTTCTTATTTTATAAACAATTTATTTCTGAAAAGTTGCATTACAGGAATAAAATTTTTGAATGTTTTGTCATACATACTTTAAAAATTGTTTTGTATTTTTATATACGAGGTACGAATGTTATGCCTCCAATTTTTTTCTCAGAAAATTCCTACAACCATGGTTTTTGCAGATAAACAATTTTCAGTCATTAACAAACCGCACTATTATTTTTTATATACTTTTACCATCTTTGATTCAGACGTTGTATTCCAAACCGGTAAAATTTCTTCAAGAAATTTTCTTGCTGCGATTATTTTCTTGAGGGCTTCACAAACACTTTTTTAACCGCGTCGCCGTCTGGCATCCACGTGTATCCTAGCAAAATGACATCTACGTATATCCTGCAGCGATAATTTGAAGGTGCCAGATCTGGATTATAAAGGGGTTGAGGAAGAACAATCCATCAGTTTGGAATACAGCGTCTGATTCAAAAGAAAATGATGATGATTTTATGACACACAGAAAATGATGATGATTTTGTGAAAAAATAACTGAATGTTTGCTAATGACGGATAATTGTAGGAATTAAATTTTCTGAGAAAAAAATTGGAGGCATTATTTCCGTATATTTGTCGGAATAATATAATACCAATTTACGTAATTTTGTCATATTTGTGATTTAAAAAAGTAAAACATGCAGCATACAAAGCATGAAAAAAGTTACTAATTTCATTAAATTAGCTGAATAAAATCCTACTATAGGAAATCTGTTATGTACATATATTATCTTTTTAATTAAGAAATATATAAACGACGGTATTTAGAATAATTCTAAATACTGCCACTGTTGCACTGGGTCATCCAATCACTCAAATGCATAAAATTATGACGCGCTCTACTGCAGATACTTTTAAAATAGGGCGTGCTGATTTTTTGAGGTTTAGCTGAGCAATTTTTAACCCGCGTTATACTCTCGCGGAATCTCAGCGTCACCGTAACGGCGCGCGCAGCCGGCTTGATTGTCATATTTTATAAACAACGCGGCTGTACTGCACAACGGGAATCGTTGTCGGCACGTTTGCCGATTATTTAACGACGGCCTTGGAGCCGACGACGAAGGGGGCCACGCATTTTTTACGTCGCCAACGCGACCTAGAAAAATAATAGGAAGGAAGCCGTTAGGAACGTACAAATAAACCGTGAGACATACTTGCCCACGTTCGATTACAGTATCAAGGCGTTGGCGTTAATTAAACTTAATTAATTTCTTAAACCTCGGAATTGAAATTCTAGCGTTTAAACTCGTGGGCTCTCCTTCGGCACGAAGGACGAGGAATTTAAGCCGAAGGTACGCCAAGGACGCGCAAACTTTCTAACAATGGGGGAGTAAATACAAGTTACCTTTTGTCACGAATGTCTAGAATATACATTATCGTCAGCAATTTTGTTTTATTAGATGATACCAGACAATTTACGAATATTGTGTTTGAAGGTAACAATGCTGTTGATTGCGAGAACAACATCACATTACACATCTTCAATTATCTTAATAGATTTTCAATTGATAAAATTACCATATTTAGAAAATATTATAAATATAATTTGGTATGAATTCCAGAAATACTTGCAGCCTTTAAAGAGCCCAGAGAATGCGGGTTTAGTGGATGCCGCTACGGTCGACGAAATATTTTATCAGGTATTATATGCTTACTGCAAACATTATTTTCGTATTTTTACAGTAAAAGAACACTTGATATTTATATCGTGCATATCATAAATTCATGTCTCGTTCGCGGATTATAATTCAACGTTTTTATAAATTTCGAGCAAAGTGTTCTTTGCTTTGTTCCGCGGGATTATAATTTAAATATCCATGTCAAGTGCAGAAGGAGAACTTGACGATTTTTCAACTGATTGTAGATTTAGGATCAAGATCTCTAACCGCGAAATTGATTTATCCTGTTTAAACAAAGAACACTTGCCGATCGATCGCAGAAAGTCTCTACTTAATCCTTTAAGACGCGTTCAGAGTAGCGGTTAATTAGCGAGTTGCTAATTAGTTACGTCGAACTACGAAAAGTAGCAAATACTTTATGAGAGTATTATTTTGAGTACATTTAATCGGATTGGTATTTGATTCAGTGAATGATAACTGAGGTTAATGTTGCGTGAAAAGCACATTTATTATAATCATGATTTTATAGAGAGATGAGACTGCATTAACAAAATTGTAATATCATTGAGATAAAATTTCTGACAGTTGCACTTCACACGTCGTTTTCTTTTATTTCTACTTCTTTAAATATTATTTATTAATGTTTTCCGTATTTTGCATTTGTGGTAACAAATACTAAAGAAAATAATGATAGTTAATCTACGACAGTCTATCGTTAGACGCGTTGCATTCTATGATAATTGAGAACTTGTCTGGACTAGAGCATCTTTTGACATTTTCGTAGCTTTGAAGTCAATTTCAGAACTTGGAACTTAATTTAAAAATTTCGAAGTTTTAAAGCTTCGAAGACTCATTAAACTTAGAAGTTAACTTCGAAGCTACGAGGATGTCAAAAATAACAGCCCTAATCTGAACTTCTGGCGTGATTTCAAAGTATTCGATTATGTTAAATCACTATCAAAGATAAAGTTGTCGAAGGGAAATTTTCACGCATTTCAGATACCAGCACTTCTCAGCCATCACGAGGTATTCTTGGAGGAGTTGCGTAGGCGACTGGACACCTGGGAACTCAAGCAGACGATCGGCGACGTCTTCCTCGATGTGGTGAGTTTACATTGTTACTAGGTGCGCAAATATCTCTGGCCGGACACGTAATAAATTATGCTCGCAACAGTATCCGCCTTCCTTCGCCGTTGAGATTCCGAGGCGCTAACAGAACCGACAGATCCCGCAACGTTAATTTGCGGCGTTTTATTCTATTCGGCTCGTATTAATAAATCGACCGATGTCGCGACCAAGCTCACCTCTTTACGTAACTACGAGAATATTTTTATCTCTTTAAACACATTTATTCAAGTTTCACATTTCTTCCGTACACATTACATCATATTCTATAACGAATAAATTCACAGCGTTAATTTGGTGCGACGCGGTATTTCAGAGATCTTCTTGAAAATTTAAATGCATTGAAAGACGAATCGTTGTTGTTTCGGATTTCTCTGTGTAATAAATCGACTGATGTCGCGACCATGCTTACTTCTTTACGTAACTGCAGAATATTTTTATCCCTTTAAAGAAATTTATTTATGTTTCACATTTCTTCCATACACATCGCATCGTATTCTATAACGAATAAATTCACAGCGCTAATTTTGTATGACGTGATATTTTCAAGATTTTCTTGAAAATTTAATACAAGACAAATTGTTATTGTTCCGGATTTCTGTGCTGTGTGAATTAATTCTGACGTATTGGCGTTTAATGCGAAAAACACGATTAATATTATACAACAAGTTTTCTCATCGACTTTGTATAGCTTCAACTTTATTTCTCCATAATTCAGCGAAAAGGTCAAAAGTTATTCGTTTAAGTTTTCATTATATCATAAATTTACGCATTCTCCACTTAAACACGTTGGGTCGAGAGTGAATTTAAGCTGCTTATAAATGATTTAAAGTACGCAAAACGTATCTTTTATACTTATATTACCACAGGACTTTTTACAAACTGTGCGTATATTGAAAATATAATTTGATTTAGATATTTTAAGCGAATTAATATTAAGAGGAATTTGAGGTAATAGGAAGTTTGGAATATTAATTATTAAAATTTTAAAAGTTAATAAAAGTTGAATATTGATGAACATGATACACATATGAAATATGAATTAACGCAAAATGTATTTATTCATTTAAAAGGAAACCTTTCGATCACACAGTTTATTTATAATATTCATACGCAAATATACAGATATAAATTATTCGCAATAATTGAGAAAATATTAATTCAGATTTTTTTTCCGAAACAATTTGTACATTTGAGGAATATTTTGTCGTTTTGCATACGTCATTCCTTTTATTGATTCATGTTAACAAAGAATCTACGCTGCTTTGTAGTTCACCAAGCCGGTGGTACTGGAGACGTACACCCTGTTCTTGGACAATTGGAAGTCCGCGAGGAAGGCGATAAAAACGACATGCCAAGCAAAGCCGGCCTTTGCACGATTTCTCGAGGTATGCTGCACGTTTTGTTCGTTGCAATTCCATTTTCTTCTTGCTCTCTCTCACTCTCTCTCCGCCTTCTCCTCCTCCTCCCCCCCTCCTCTCTCTCTCTCTCTTTCTTTCTCTATCTCTCTCTCCTTCTCTTTACAGCGCAACGGTTATTATTAAATACGAAACTTTTTTATTCCACATCGCTTCTTAAAGCACCGCGGTCAAACCTGACCTTTCGCAATTTTATCGATATAATTAACTCGTTACTTGATTGCCGGCGTTATCCTCGCCTACTTACCATTTAAATTCCCCCGAGACTCGGCGCATCTTTTTTTTACATATACACATACAGTAATGTACTTGGGCGAGTTGGGCCCTGGCACGCGGAATGTCAATCACTTGGTGCGCCGCAAAATTTATGCGGGGCAAATTGCAAAAATGGCTCATCACAATGGTTGAATTATGCTTCGACTTGATTGCGATTAGACAATGGAGCGCGAGCACAAAGGCAAACTGGGGCTGGACCAATTGCTGATCAAGCCCGTGCAGAAGATCCCGCGATACGAATTGCTGATCCAGAGATTGCTGAAGCACACGGATCCGACGCATCCCGACCACGAGCTGCTGCAGGCCGCGCAGAAAGAGGTGCACGAGCTGGTCGTGAAGATCAACTGTACGGAAAGGGAGTCGCTCGAGTGGGAGCAGCAGCAGACCACATTAAGGGAGGTCCAGGCCCTCGTCGAGGGCCTCGCCGGCATCGTGACGAACGACAGGTAGTAATCACGACCGAACTGACTTTCTTCTGCAATTTTCGCGCCGGTCGTGAAGTGCCGGTGACCGTTCGTAATACTAACCGCTTTATAAATTAATTACTCCCTAATAAAACAATATATTCGACTCGGTTTCTTCCCCCC